TCTAAACAATAGAACTATCTTCAAGAAGAAGGGGAAAGGACTTAAATAGACACTTTTCAAAAGGGGACATACAGAAGGCCAAGAGACATATGAAAACACGCTCAAAGTCACTAATCACCCAAGAGATGCAAATCAAAACGACAATGAGGTATTATCTCACACCTGTCAGAATGGCTATCATCAACAAATCAACAAACAAGTGCTGGTGAGGATGTGGAGAAAAAGAAACCCTCATGCACTGCTGGTGGGAATGCAGACTGGTGCAACCACTGTGGAGAACAGTATGAAGTTTCCTCAAAAATTTAAAAATGGAGCTTCCACTTGACCCAGTAATCCCACTTGTAGGAATATATCCCAAGAAATCAGAAACACCAATCAGAAAGGCTATGTGCACCCCTATGTTCATAGCAGCACAATTTACCATAGCTAAGATTTGGAAACAGCCTAAGTGTCCATCAGCAGATGAGTGGATTAAAAGACAGTGGTACATCTATACAATGGGATACTCTGCTGCTGTAAAAAGGAAGGAACTCTTACCATTCACAACAGCATGGATGGACATGGAGAGCATTATGCTAAGCGTTAAATAAGCCAGTTGGAGAAAGATAAACATCACATGATCTCACTTATTTGTGGAATATAATGAACAACATAAATTGATAATCAAAAATAGATCCAGAGACAAAAAATCATTGAACAGACCGTCAAACTTCAGAGGGAAAGTAGGGGAGGGTGTGTGCATGTATGTGTGTGGGGGGGGGCAGGTAAAGAGATCAACCAAAGGACTTGTATGCATGCATATAAGCATAACCAATGGACACAGACATCAGGGGGATGGGGGTGGCCGGGGAGAGGTCAATTGGGGGAAAAGGAGACATATGTAATACTTTAAACAATAAAGAATCAAAAAAATAAATAAATGCATAAAAAACACCCCAAAAAAAGGAAGAATAAGGGGAAATGTGCTAAGGTAAATCATTTCCCTCCCCCAAGAAAACACTGAGAGGTCAGTTGCTGAATATCAAATGTTTATTATTTAGTTTCCTACTACTGCTAAAATCCATTTCATAAGCAGCTCCTCTTCAAACCAGCTTTTATTTCACAGAAATTGTATCCTTCAGCAATTCACTTTGAAATGTGCCATGCTGAGGATGGGGATGCTTCAGGGCATGGCTTGGGCAACACGCCACATGAAGAGCCTCCCCACCCTGATCCCCCACACAGAAAGCTGCCAATACCTTAGAAAACACCTTTGCAAAGCCAGCCAAATTGTTTAAGTCTGCTGAAAACAAAGAACATCTTACTTGATTCAAATTACAAATTCAGTATTGTACTGTACACATCCAGCATTACACATGCTTAAAATAATATAAGCATGCTTAATGACATATCAGATCTCACTTTTTTTAAAAAAAAAAAAACTATAAGCAGGCAACTACACATTTTAAAACGACCATAACCCCATTTTCACCTACAGTTAAAACTATTGTTGAATACGCATTGGCTGGCTCAGAAGTCTTTGGCGTGCACACAGGAAGTAGAGAAAATATCCAGGCTAAGAATAACCACGTTACACATATCTAAGCATCTTCCAACCAAATCTGTCTTGAAGGTCCAGGCCAGCTTCCAAGTGGCATGGTTTCTAGGCGAGGCCATCATGCTGATGCTTCTTCACAAATCCTGGAGGGACAAATGCAGGCTCGCCCACTGTGGTCCCAGGATGACGTCAGCCTCTGAGGGCAACAGCGCCTGGTTGGCCCTTGCTCAGGGGAGTCTCTCAACCCGTGGAATTCCATCCAGGTCTGATGGCTGCTCCAGGCTGATGGGGCTCATTTCAGCCAGTGGAGCCCAGAGGCAGCAGGGCCGGAGTTGGGCAGGGACCTCTGGAGACCACAGCTTTGATGCTGAGTAGATCATTGTCTCTACCCCAGGACCTTGATTACAAAAATAGCCCAGCTTGTAATTTAATAGCACCTTGAAAACATAGGTAATGGTAGAAAACAGGATCATAAAATGAAGTCACTTTCGATTCTGGCCATTGTTTCCTACCACTAAAACCAAGTCAAGAAAATACACCATGTTAACTAAATCTAGGGGGAAAAAGATGTCTATTCTTGTAGGAAGAATATAAGTAAACCATATTCATCAGACTGTGTGTGTATGTATATATATAATGTATTTTATGGAGCAGTAGAGGAAAAAACATAGACATAGCTCCCTCCTCAGAGCATCTGTCAAATAGTCATGTAGAAGTATTTTTAAAAGGAAAATTGAGAACAGAAGGTATCTAAACTCTTGGTGGAGTGGCGGACAGGAGTTCAGAAGTTGGAGAAGATTACTGTGCACTAATGCATCAGTACATTATAGTCACACGTTGACACCTCAGAAATAAAATAGCTACAGTTTTGAAGCAACTCCTCTACTGTCTGATTTAAAAAGGAAGCTCATCCTACAAGAAGAAGAGGTAGTCTGTTAGTGAACTGCGGACCGATGCTGGCCCTCAGAGGCCCGTTTGCTTTGTGGATTCAGTGCCCTTGGCGTATTTTAACAATGTTTGTAGATGTGTTTGTTTTACTGGATAGAAGCAGATGTGAAAGTGATTCCATTCCAGCCAGGTCTGTTTGTTGGTACACGTGACCCCGGCTTTCTATTAAGTTGCAAGAGGGTGTTTGTTCCCATAGAACTCAGCAGCTCTGAGGCAGTCTGTTAATATCCCTGTTGACTGATATAGTTACTGGTCCAGGTTGAACAAAACATCAGTAGAAGATGTATGTAGTCGAATCAAGCCAGACTCTCCAGGGTCCAGGAAATGAGGAAATCTTGCACTTCAAGTAGCGGGGAGATGGCCAACGTGGTTCATGCCTGGGTGCTAGAGAGTCCCAAGTTATGAGCAACATCTGTAACAACAATGCAACATAAATTCTTTTAAAGCTCTCCATGCGCCCATTTCCTTCCTCAAGTTTTCCCCCTTTTTCTGCCTCTTATAAACACGTGCACGCACACAGACACACCCCATCCAAACTTTTCTTTATCAGTCAAGACCCAACACCAGGTCCACATTTTCCATACAGTTTTGCTCAGCCCACTCTCAACTCCTAGATAACAGATGTTATCTGAAATGTACACTTCGCAATTACCTACTTTTGACATTAACACGTAACTCCACCATCCATGCAAACATATCACCTCTCCCAATGACATTACAAACTGAACACAAGGACGGTCTTGGGTCTTCCTGCCCTCTGCTCAGCACACATTACTCAGCACAGTGCTATTCACATAATAATCTTTCTTTTTTTATTTTGTTTTATTGCTTAAAGTATTACAAAGAGTATTACATATGTCTCCTTTTTTTTTCTCCCCTTGACCTTCCCCTGACTTCCCCTACCCCCCAGTGTCTTGTGTCCATTGGTTATGCTTATATGCATGCATACAAGTCCTTCGGTTGATCTCTTACCCACCCCCCAACCCTTCCCGGACTTCCCGCTGTAGTTTGACAGTCTGTTCGATGTTGTTCTGCCTCTGTATCTATTTTTGTTCATCAGTTTATAATGGTCTTAATTATCTATAAATGAGTGAGATCATCACATAATAATATTTCAATAAATATTTGACAGAGGTGCTGGGTCAGGCTCTGCTTGGAATTGGATATGTGTAATCCTTTCAGAATATAGAGAAGGAAGGTCCTGCTTCCCCTCAAGAAACTTACTCTCTGGCCATTTGCATAGTTATTTGTTTAAATCCAATTGGAAGAGATGTACTAGGTTTGGTAGGTGGAAATTGAGACCACCCACCTCTGATTTCAGCCTCAAGGGGTGGACACCTTTGTGCATACTGATGGTTCTAGCTAGCACAATAGTCCATGGTGCATTTCTCTGCTTTTCTGCCTCAGGGTTTTCTCTGAAGACTTCTGAGCCCCTCATCCCAAACACAGGGCAAGTTTAGGGACGTGGGAGATTAAGGTGCTCTGTAGGCAACCCTAAAGCAGTGGGGGTGGGAGCCAGTGTATAAAGCCCCACTTATGGAAGACATCTGTACACTCCTCAGAGATCCTGTGGCCTCTAGCTGACATCTCAGTAATGCAACCTCCATTTGCGTTTCCTCCTTACCTGTCTCACTCTCCCTGTTCCCTCACCCCTTCTTCTTGGAGTCACTTTCCACCTAAATTACTTGCCCACAAGTCTCTGTCTCAGGGTTTGTTTTAAGAGTTCCATACCAAAGCAGACACATTATTAAGAGCACAGAGATTGAGAGAAATGTGTTTTTTTTAAAATAGCAAAGTTATATGAAACACAAGCTCTTTGCTAGTGTCAAAGCTATGGTATCAATCTCTGGGGAACAAAGATGTCACTGAACACCCTGAGCATCAATAATTTCTTGCATCTGAAAAGTGAGATGGACTAAAAGAGCATTTAGCTCCCTCTCTATACTTTAATTCTATGGCAGATGTTTCGTGTGTTTCTTTAATATAAGTTCTGCACCACTGAGTTGTGGCAAAAATGCAATGGCTTCTATCTCATCATATACCTCATATCATTGCAACCTCTAAAGCATAAAATTTACACCTTTTCTACAATAGATGCTTCCACTTTTCTGAATGCTCCTCAACTTAATGACACTCAAGTTAACAACACTTAATCTGAATGGAAAAGGTCAAATTCCCACCTAACTGGCCTTCTGTGATATACACAAGTTCTTTAAACTTGCACAATTTAACAATATCTTCACCAATTCCTCCTTCCTCCCCATGCTAACACCAACCCAGATCTCGCTTCCAAATCTCAGTCTAAAATCTCCATGTATCTATACATCTCCCACAGTGATTTTTGCACTTAATTGATATTCAGTAAATCTCATTGTATGACTTAATGAACTTTTTTTTAACAAGGGAGACTTTGAATCATCTCAATTTTTAAAATATCAATTGGAAAATTTCTTTGGTACAATAGTGATTTATGAACTTGTTTAATTTTAATAGTAGTTTATAACCTTGTTTGTTTTCAATTCACTGGAGAAAAACATAAAATCAGGTAAAATAAAAATTCAGTTTTTCACAGAAAATACGAAAAGTCAGACTTAGAGGCATTATTCCTCCCTCTAAAATCATAAATTAAGCCCGGTGTGGCTCAGTGGCTGTGCATCGACCTATGAACCAGGAGGTCAGGGGTCAATTCCCAGTTAGGGCACAAGCCCAACAAGGGGTGTGCAGGAGGCAGCCAATCAATGATTCTCTCTCGTCATTGATGTTTCTATCTCTTCCTCCCTCTCGCTTCCTCTCTGAAATCGATAAAAATATATTTTTAAAAAATCATAAATGAAAATTCCAGTCTTACTATGAAGACAGCTCTTCCCTTCCCTAAGCCCTAAATGTTGCTGTACCTGTGCGCCCAGGCTTCTTCGCCGTGTTCACCGCTGCCATGAACATGTACTCACTGTTCGCATCATGCACACTGGATCGATGCTTCTGAAAGAGAAAGTCAGAAAACAGGTTGGTCATCTGCTCTCCCCCGTCTCCATCCCTGTTATTTGTTGGTTTGTTTGTTTTGGTTTATTTGTTTACTGTTTTCTATTCTTTGTCGGAGTGGTATGTGAGAAATGTTATAATGGGACTTAGGGTCCTGGCTTTTGGCTAAGTAGGAGAACAACATGAAAAGGGCTTTAATTAAAAAAAGCTGACTTCCTCATTTTGGCCTTTATTGTTCTTTCCTCCATAAAATTAGATCATGGGCTCTATCTCATTCTCTTCCTTTTTATCTCTTTTTTCATATTCCATTTGGCACAAATATACTCACCGTCTGGTCAATGGTCACACTGTGGATACACTTGGGTATTAGCAGACTTGCATCATGCAGGGAGGTATAAGTTCTTTGAGAACATGTATTGCAAAAGGCTACAAAGGATATTTTCAGCACAGATCTTGTTGTTGTCATTATTGTTGTTGTTTTATCATTCTGCATGGCTTTTCAGTGGTTTTTCTTTTAAAATAAGGAGCCCTAATAATTTACCATGGAAACAAACTAGCCATTTACTTCTCAGCTACTACTGGTACCTTATAAGATTTTCTCACTGATTATTTCTTTTTTTAAATTTTGTTTTATTGCTTAAAGTATTACAAAGAGTATTAAATATGTCTCCTTTTTTTGACTATTTCTTAATTAACCAATGGAGTGAAACAGAATGGTTTCATCTTTGTTCCGACTCTTAGGTAGCTTAGAATAAAATGTGCAGCCCACATTAAATAATTTTTAAAAGCAAGAAGCATCTATTTTTATGTTTTTACCTTCCTCCTGACTTTTTGTCTTTTATGGGCCTCAATTGTCTCATCCTTGTTGAATAATAACAACATATCTCTTTGTAAGCCATCGAATAAGTTTTGAAATGAAGCAGTTATAAAATAAGCTTCTGTTCCAAGTGGGTAGTTTAGTTAGTAGGTATATCTTGAGAGAGAAAAAGTAGTCTACCTGTTGATCCATTTACTCTCGTAAAAATAATATGTACTTCGATGAGTAAATAACCATTGATATTCCTCAGTAAAATTGATGCAAGAAAAGATAGACATTGCTCACCTTATTTTTAAACCAACATAAAAATGTGCATCCAAAAATGTAGACGACAACAAAAGCTGCACATCCTATGGGTAACCAGAACTTCAGCTGGCAACAAAGCTGTGATTCTGGATTAGAAAAAAGAAATGTTAAGAACAAATTCTAAAAATCAAATCCCCTCTTTCACTGCTGAATCCCAAGGTGGTGTTTTGTGTGGTTTTTTTTAACAAATGTAAAAGAATGATTTAATCAAATGAGCTTGTTTTCATTGCAACCATGAAACCCAGTAAATAGTAAACAACATCATTTTAGTATTATAGCAAGGATCCAAAAACTAAAACGTAAAAGACTGTACACACAAATATGTTTACAAATGTGACTAATAAAAAGGACTTTTCTGTCTATATTTTTGCAAAAAAATAAGTAGAAAAAGTAATGACATAAAACTGTTCTTTTCAGTCATTTCCCTGCCTTCTGCAAATTCAGCAAAAACCACAGCCTTATGTGAATAGAAGTAATAGTCATTAAGCCATGGGTTTGGATATTTGTCTTCATTTTTCATGATTTTTGATGGCATATGTGTCTTAATTTTTTTTATATTTTTATTGATTTCAGAGAGGAAGGGAGAGGGAGAGGTAGAAACAACAATGATGAGAAAGAGTCATTGATTGGCTGCCTCCTGCATGCCCCACACTGGGGATTGAGTCTGCAACCCAGGCATTTGCCCTGACCGGGAATCGAACTGCGACTTCCTTGTTCATAGGTCAAACCACTGAGCCATGCCGGCCAGGCAATGGCATATTTGTTTTAGAGACAACATGATCTATTTCTAAGTCAGCAATCTACATTATCAAATTGCATATTACTGATTAATATCTATTATTATTAACAAATCATCTCTTACATATTTTCATCATAAGTAATTGTCATCAATTGCACCTAAATGAACTCCAACACAAAATATACTTATTTGTTTGTTTTCATTAGCAAGAAAAGTCAAAATGCATATGTACAGTTACATCCAGAAGATGAAAACAATGTCTTACCGTAAATATGCAAATATTCGCTCTTCAACTTCACTTTGAAAGGAGGAGGATCAAAAATTGATAGTCTGCAGGAGTAATAGCTGTCATGAGAACTGTCCAAGTTATTCAGAAAATAAGAGACACTGTTATTGGATGATTGACAGAATTTCAGACTCTGATTGGATACGGTGTTTTCGCTTCCCTTTGTCTTACTGAAATCACAGATTATTTGCGTCCCTTTCAGCAACTCCATTCTAAATTGCTGGACGTTCTCAGAGCATTTGCATAACATTTGTACACCTCCATTGTGAAATGTAAATATTTTAGACTTGGCAAAATCATCGATTTCTTCTGGATAAAAAGAAAAAAAAGCAAAAGCGACATTTTAGGAATAGGTTGCCCTAATAATTATATTTGAATACAAAAGTAATCTCTTCATAAAGTCATAAAAATGAAATACTTCACAACAATAAAAGAACTTAATAGTTAAAACTGTGCCCTAGAAGAAGCCTAACCAGAAGCTTGTCATATATGAATATATAATATGCAGTGTATTAGATAATATATTTACAGAGTATGAATAAAACAGATATGGTTCCTGCCCTTTGGCAGCTTCCATTTTGGAAAAAGATGGTAAATAAATAAATATGTAGTAATGCACCATAATTTGTGTAAGGAATGGAGTACTAATTGAATAAAGGTGGTGAGATTGGTTCTAATTTCTATTGTAGAATCAGAAAATGCCACTTTTCCTGGCTAGCATGGTTCAGTGGTTGAGCATCGACCTATAAACCAGGAGGTCACTGTTCGATTCCCAGTCAGGGCACATGCCCAGGTAGTGGGCTTGATCCCCAGTAGGGAGCATGCAGGAGGCAGCCAATCAATGATCTCTCTCATCAGTGATGTTTCTATCTCTCTCTCCCTCTCCCTTCTTCTCTGAAAGCAATAAAAAAATATTTTTTTAAATAAGAAAATGCCACTTTGAGGAAATGATTTTTAATATTGAAATTGAGGGAGGATTTGCACTTAGTCAAACAACGAAAGTTTGGGGAAGAGATTTTGGGAATGATGCAGTTAAGAAAAAATTCTTAAAAGTACAAATAGCTTAAACTAAAAATAAGTGATTATATTTAAATATACATTGATATTATACTCTCTTGCTAGAGTGTAAAAGAACAGATGCATCATTTTCAAATGATAGAAATGTGTGTCTTCTCGGAACCTCATCCATTGAAAACTAAATTAAAGTCTGATAAAAAAAAAAAAAAAAAGTAAGGCCGCAGATATTTGCTTACTGTTTCATTTTTTAAAAGTAATTTTAATCTTCTAGGAAGCCAAGGTTGTTTTTGTAAGCTACATAGAGATCACAGAAGGAGGAGACTGAAATGGTTTTGGCCTGGCTACAGATTCTCAGTTCTTAGATTACTCAACCTGACCTGCACTCTTTCACAGTCTGGGAGCCCTCAGGGGATGTCCAACTGACAGCTTAGGCCCAGCTTGTGGCTGAGCAGCGCTTCCCACCAGGAAGTGCACTGACCACCAGGGGGCAGCTCCTGTATTGAGCATCTGCCCCCTGGTGGTCAGTGCTCATCATAGTGACCTGTCATTCCCTCGTTCAGTCAATTTGCATATTACCCTTTTATTATATAGGGTAAGTTCAAACTGCTCATTGCCTTTCTTTTTTTCTTCTTTTCTTTTAATGTGAGAAATTTTTATGCTGAATTTGTTTTGAGGAAAATATTATCATGAGTTTTCTACTTGTTTTAAAATCTCTATCTTTATTCTGAAATATTTTTGCTTTTTTTCATCCAGATACATATTTGTTTTATATAGCAAGCATATTATTTTGTTTTCCTCCATCGTCATTTAATGTTATAAACATTCCATTTTGACATAGTCATCATAATTATCCTTTGTAATGATGGTATAAAAGGCCATAGTGTTAATCTATCATAATTTGTTAAAGCATCTACTAATGCTGAAAGAACTGCTCCAATTTATAATATGACTAGCATTATGCAGGAGGATTCATTTACTACAACTCTACTTGCACAAATTTTATTTAAAATTTTACGTAAGATTTTTTATTAATTTTATTTAAGATTTATCACAGTTGCCTTAATTTTATTTAAGATTTGCCACAGTTACTTATTTTTCTTAATATCTGTAGACTTCAATGTATATCTCTCATATTACTTGGGAATAGATTTTCAACTTGGGGTTTGCTTGTGAATATACACACAGGTATTCTAGCTTTCAGTTATGGCAGTCCAGGTTATTCAAACTCAACCCATACCCCAACAACTAAAATGCTGAACAAAATGTCCTGAAATATTATTAAAAGAGAAGAAAATACTAGTTAAATTTGAAGAACTAGAACTCAGAGAGAAAAGCAGAGCTTAGGAGCTACTTTACTCTGAAAGCATTTGCTGTTCTCCCAGATTCAAACTTTTGTTTTCATGTTTCAACTCCCAGAGTGTGAAAAGTGAGAAATCTAGTAGAAAACCCTTTCCTCAATAAGCTGGATCCCAAAAGGTTACATCCTTGGAGTATAGGTAAACCAGAAGTAAACCAGCCCTCATGCAGATTATAACCCACCTTTGAATCTCTTCAATGGTCTATCTCAATTCTTACATTTTGTTTAAGGTGATTTTAGATTATTATTATTACCCAGAGGCTTTTGAAAGTAAAAATGCAAACTATTCCAGGAAGAAAAAATTTATAGGCCTCAAATCATATCTACAAATAATATTTAAATACAATGATAAACACACCATAAAAAATAATCAGACACAAAGGGAAACAAGATAACAGGAACAACAGACTACAAAAACAAATCCACAAACAATTATATATTTGAATTATCAGACCCACAAAATAAAACAACTGAGCTTACTATGTTTAAGGAAACAAAAGATAAACTTATAATAATAACTGCAGAGCACAGAAAACTCAAAAAAAGATCAACTAATTTGAATAAAACAAAAATCAACAACTAACACTGGCAAAAACCACACAGATTAAAAACTCAATGGAAAGGTTAAGAGCATTAAAGCTAATGAGAGAGCTGATAAACTGAAAAAATAGGTTAGAAAATTTATTCACAGTGCAGTCATAATCCACAGATTCAAGAATCCCAACAAATCACTAGCAGGTGTTTTCAAAATACTTACATCTACACATAGCATAATGAAAATCCTAAAAACAGCAAGAGGGAGAGAAAAAAAAAGATTGATTGTCTTCAAAGAAGCACCTATTAGATTGACAGGTGATGTTGCAACAACCATAAAAGCCATGATACAGTGAAATTATGTCTTATATCTTCAACGTGGTGAAACTACCCATCAACCTAGAACAGTGGTCGGCAAACCTCAGCTCGCGAGCCACATGCGACTCTTTGGCTCCTTGAGTGTGGCTCTTCCACAAAATACCATGTGCAGGCGTGCACGTACAGTGCAATTGAAACTTCGTGGCCCATGCACAGAAGTCGGTTTTCGGCCTGGGCGAGTCTATTTTGAAGAAGTGGCATTAGAAGAAGTGGGGGGTGTCGGTCAGTCGGGCGACAGGAGACACGGCACAGGCAGGCCGCGGGTTACGCAGCGCAGGGGAGGTACATTGTTTTGAGGTACATTCGCTGAGGTCGACCCCTTCCAACTCTCCCATCCACACTCATCTTGTATACTTGTTTCAGATGACAAGTGTGGATGGGAGAGTTGGAAGGGGTCGACCTCAGCAAACGTACCTCAATCAGATTGAGGACATTTCTAGCAAAGGCCAGCTTAGGAGTACCCTAATTAAGTTAATAACAATGTACCTACCTATATAGTTTAAGTTTAAAAAATTTGGCTCTCAAAAGAAATTTCAGTCGTTGTACTGTTGATATTTGGCTCTGTTGACTAATAAGTTTTCTGACCACTGACCTAGAACATACTGTCTAGAAAGACAGTAAAAGGTGTATGTAACTTGAAACTTTGATAAGTGAAGTATGCATGTTGTGATAATGACTAAAAGAATAGATAGAAACAGAATATATAACCTCAGTGAATATCACAAAGTTCAGTCTAAAAGGGGAGAAGAGTTGGAATAGTTGAAACCAGGAAGGAAAATACAGGCATGGAAGACTTCTATGTGCTGACAATGTTGTATTTCTTGACCTGTAGTGATTGTAGGAATGAGGTAGTATGCTTTATAACTTACTCATCAACAAGACATTTATGTTTGCTCACTTTTCTTTATAGATGTTTTGTTCTAGAATTAAATTTTTTAAAGTATATAAAAACAATGCTTATTTCATTTTAAAAATAGAGGGGATAATATAAGCAAATGGGAAAAAACCAATAGCATGAGTAGAGATGAAGTCTGTATTATATAAAAATGAAAGTTGTTTTGCTTGGGGACTTATTTGTCTGAGTAAATTATGTTGCTGCTATTGTTTGGATGCTTATGTCTCTACTGTCTGCTGTAGAAGATAAAATCAGTGGGCTGGTTCTCAGTTCCTTTAGAAATAATCAAAGTAAATTTCCCAAGGACTTTATAACAGCAGTAAGTAAACCACAAAGACATCTTGGACTAAAAGTTTCTGCAGCCACTGTGTGTACAAACAGACATAAATGCATTGCTCTCTATTTCTGAAGATGATTTTGTCATCAATTTTTTCCCCTTTTGTGTCCACACAAAATGGTTGGCGGTACAAGAAGGAAGAAATTCAATTCAGTGGTTCCCAAGGAAACCAGAGGCAAATTCAGGCCCTGGCATTAGCAAGCCTCTGTGACTGGAGTGCCCCTCTTGACTTCAGCCTCTTCATCTGTGGAAGGGTTAGGTTCATGGTTACAGTTAGGGTTAGGTGGTGAGACCAAAACATCTTAAAGTTCTTTCTAACCCTTAGTCACCATGGATCCAGGATCAGAACATACCATCTGAGACTGCAAGAAAGCTATTTCTTTGCTGTTGGGTCTTCCAGAGAAGAAACCATGTTCCTATAATCCCCTCTCTGTTCCAGCATCTTAGTGGGCTATTTCAGGGAGTTAGGAAAAATGGAAAGTATTTTGGTAGGGCTTGAGTGACACAGCCAATTGTTTGTGCCATTGACATCAGAGGAGTAACTGGAGATTCCCTCTTAAGTGTCATTTCTACTGGACATGCTTAATTTTTTATTTTATCATAATTTATGTAAAAATTACCCAGTCACCTTTTTATTATCAAACTAGGGGCCCAGTGCATGAATTCGTGCACTGGTGGGGTCCCTCAGCCTGGCCTGCAGGGATCAGGCTGAAACCAGCTCTCCAACATCCCCCGTGGGGTCCCATATTGCAAGAGGGTGACACACCTTGGAATCGGGCTTCCTTCTCTCT